TGGAAGGTGTCCCTGCCCATGGCAGGGGGGGTGGAACTCTATCATCTTTAAGGTCCCTTCCAACCCTAACCATTCTATGCTTCTATGATTCTAAGTTCCTTACAAACAGTAAACAAAGAGGTGCAGAAGATTTCCTGAGAACGATCCAGCCCAGCTAAGTTAAGCATCTGCCTGTCTTCAAAGGCTGTGGATGAGAACTTGGCTTGCTGGAGGCCACCATCCCTACCACCTAATTTGGAAGTCACTCTTCCTACTGCTTGCACGAAGCACCATTTCTCAAACTGGAGGTGCAATGGACACGGCTAGGACTACGCCACGAGACCCATGGGATATACTGTCCATCATATATATGCACCAGACAGAGGTCATGGCCACCTACCAGGCCCTTGGCTGTTGCCCTGGCTACTTGGCATGCTGCCAGGAGGATGGGCTGAGCAGCTGTGGGAAGAAGGTCCCTCAAAACGGAGAGGACAGGAGGATGGAGAATATCCTGGGTAACGTTTCTGTGTAGATGTGGGCAGATGAAAAGAGGCAGCAAGAAAGCCTGGAGAACCTCTGAGGTGTCCTACGTGCACCTACCTAACCTTCCACTGGAAGAGAGATCTGTTACAGGGCAAGGCCGTGACTCCATCACAGAAAGAAATTAACAGCAGCAGCCTGCTCCCACACTTGCACAACAGCTCAGTGACAGGAATCGTGGGGTTTACACCCTCCTTCACTTCATAGAATCATAGAATGGTTTGGGTTGGAAGGGACCTTAAAGATCATCTAGTTCCAAACCCCCTGCCATGGGCAGAGAAATCCTCCACTACACCAGGTTGCCCAAAGCCTCACTTCAGGAGGCTCCAATCCACCTCTCAGGAGTGCACAGCAAACACCAGGCTCATGACTGCTCCAGGGGGAGGACTTTACCTCTCCTTTTGAGCCCGAGCATACAGCAAAGAGCCCAAACCTAAGGAAGTCTGGAGCAGAGTGAACAAGAAAGAATCAGATTTTCCACTAAGCAAGGGATATAACTAGGTTCAGGATGTGCTCTCTGGAATGCATGTATATTTTTATAGTAAACTTGATTCTAAATTAAAAGAAACGGAAAGAAAAACGTCCAGGTAGCCCAGGGTGTTCTGCACACAATACAGCACAAACCGTGCACGTGGAGGAGGCCTGCGCACAGTAGATCTGATGTTTCCTAGAAGTACGTGCAGATGGATTGCCCTGGAGAGTGGTAACACGTCCGAGTTCGTGGCAAGGAAGGGGACTCAGCCTTCTCCTGCCAGAAAAAGACACGAGGCCAGCCTGGCCAGTGACACTGGGCACGAATTCTTTGTATGAACTAGCAAAGGGAAAGGCAACGTGACACGTATTATTTTACTAAGCAGGAAAGGAATGTGAAGAATCAGGAATCCAGCTTTCTATGCTGGTAGAAGAGGGAGGATAATCTTTGGCTACACTTTTACTGAGTAATTCAAATATATTTAAATGTGCTAAAATGCATTGACACCTTGCCTCTGCCTCCAAAAATTAATTTTGGAAAGTAGTTCAAATTGCTAAGTTAATTCTCAAAATTCTCCATGGACTTCTTTTACTCTTTCAGGTATTAGCTAATTTCAGCTAAACGTAATGAGTAAAGGTTTTTTCATCAATACAGCCGAAAATTCAACTGTACTTTATTCTGCTATGCACTGCTATGTTAGATAGCATCGTAAGTTAAACCTTTTGGACAAGGTGTCAGTGACATCCCAGATGTCTGCAGGTAAGAGAGTGAACTCCCTCTCTCATAAACGGACTTGATCATATCCTAGATGACTCTCTGAGGTGGGGGCTATAGCACAAGCAAGGAGTTCCATAACCATCTCTGCCTCACCTCCTTACACCCCAAACTACAGAATCTCCTTCCCTGTAGGGCAGTCCTCAAGTGTGAGACGTGACATCACCATGCCACTTAACTGGGGATAACAGGGAACATCAGCAGTCAGCAGAAAGAAGTTCAGACTGACTCTTCTCCTCATCTCTTCCTCCTCACTGGTCCAGAGAGGCTGTGTAGGTGACAATGTCCCAGCTCTGGTAAGGTGACAATCAGGCAGAAGCAAGTACACGGCCACAGAGGGTGTTACAGAGACATGAGACTCTTGTAAATGCCAGGACGCAACAGGCACCTAATTTTTTTTTTTTTTTTTTTAACATTTGGTTTCCTGAGGTATTAAATTATAATTTCTGCACGTGCTCTAAAAATAACGATTCCTACTTCTGATTTAAGGATTTAACATAGTTAAATTTAACTTAGTTAAACGTTTCCTCCTTTTCCAGAGGAAAAGGACTTGGAGGTATTGGGTGATGAGAAGCTCACCATGAGCCAGCACTGTGCGCTGGCAGCCCAGAAAGCCAACCGTGTCCTGGGCTGCATCCAGAGCAGCGTGGGCAGCAGGGCGAGGGAGGGGATTCTGCCCCTCTGCTCTGCTCTCCTGAGACCCCACCTGGAATACTGCATTCAGCTCTGGGGTCCCCAACACAAGAAGGACATGGAGCTGCTGGAGCAGGTCCAGAGGAGGCCATGAAGATGATCGTAGGGCTGGAGCTCCTCTGCTATGGAGACAGGCTGGGAGAGTTGGGGCTGTTCAGCCTGGAGAAGAGAAGGCTCCGGGCTGATCTTATGGCAGCCTTCCAGTACCTAAAGGGGGCCTACAGGAAAGCTGGAGAGGGACTTTGGACAAGGGCATGTAGTGATAGGACAAGGGGCAATGGATTTAAACTGGAAGAGGGCAGATTCAGATTAGATCTAAGGAAGAAATTCCTCATTCTGAGGATGGTGAGGCACTGGAACAGGTTTCCCAGAGAAGTTGTGGCTGCCCCATCCCTGGAAGTGTTCAAGGCCAGGTTGGATGACGCTTTGGGCAACCTGGTGTAGTGGAAGGTGTCCCTGCCCGTGGCAGGGGGGTTGGAACTAGATGATCTTTGAGGTCCCTTCCAACCCAAACCATTCTATGATTCTGTGAAATAAACTGCACTTATATGAATTATGCATTATTTAAATGCAGATCTTCCATATTACCAGTCTGTACTTTGCCGTTGCACAATCAGCATTTTTTCCTGGTGCAGCCCGTGGTGCTCTCTCGCAATGCCAGTTAGAAATCAGAGCACATTGTATTAAATCTCCCACGCTATATAAAGTCGGATCATGAAATGATCCTTCACTGAGATATTTCAACAGTGTTCTGTGAAACTCTTAAAGCTATTTACTTGTAGATTTGACATACTTTTAAATTCGTAACTCATTTCATTCTTAACACCACACCTGCCTGGAATCCAACCAGGTAAACTTTACATAAACTCCAAACGAGCTCTGTGTATGTAGGAACAAAGACTTTCCTTCATGCATTTTTCGTAATCTAAGAAAAAGAATTTTGCATTGTAATACTTTTAAGAAAATAATAATTAAAAAACCCTTCTGTTACAACTTTATTGCAGGAACAGAGAGAAAATAAAAAGACTAACCTGCATACACGAGCATGGTGATGAGAAGAGCGATCAAATGGACTTTGTATTTGGGATTAACACTTTCCACTCGCAGGATGGCCAGCTGGAAAACGACAGAAAAGAGCAGTTCTATGCAGAACGCCTGCACCTCCGTAGTCTGCATGGGGTTGCTGCAGCCCTGCGAGAGCGCCCCGACATGTGGCTGTGCCATCTCCAGGCTCCAGACGAAGTGCATAAACGCCCTGGCAAGCACCGCCGCCGCGAACTGAGCGCCGACGGCGAGCCCGCCCGTCCTGAGCGACATCCCACCGCCCCACATGGGCTGCAGGGTGCCGCAGGGGTTGCACGTGCCGCCGGTCAGAGTCAGGCCGTGCAGGACGGCGACGCCGTAGGTGAGCGTGAGGGCGGTGTGCGGCTTCGGCTCCACGTCGCCCAGCAGGCAGAGCTCGCTGGTGCAGGCGCAAATCTGGAAGGTGCTGAACATCTCCAGGAGGAAAGCGCAAAGGTGTGGGTGGGAGCGCAGCCGGTGGCGGGTCCATCTCCTGCACAGCCCC